GGGGTGGGGATGTGTGCCATGAGCAAGTGCTAGAAAGGGATGGTGTTCCCATGGGGGGGGGGGAACAGTATGCAGAAAAGGCAGATAAGAGACAGGAACATAAAGGCAAGTAGAACAGTTCTGACACTGACTTCGTCAGAAACAGGAATAAAGTGTCTACCCCTTCATAAGTGGATTGTGTGGGCCAAACTGAAGGGTCAGATCCTGGCACTTTCTATAATTGTTTTGTACCAGACCACTTCATCAGCTGCCCTAAATTTCTTCAGGCATCAGGAAATCCCTGCTTCACCAGTGACTATTGTAGTTTGATGGTGTGTACAAATATTCTTAATTCAGCAGTGAATACTTTCAAAAACAGCTGCATTTCCTTTAAAAAAAAAGGAAAAGAAAATGTCAGTGATTCAAAGTCAAACAAGTTTTACTATTTGCCATGGCACAAGTGCATCAAATTAACTTCAGTATCTCAAACACTTTGAACTTGCCCAGTTGATCTCAAGGTTTGACCACATAATTTTGCTCCAGCCACACACATGCTATATCTGAGGCAGACTGGACATGTTTGATAGGTTTTAGGCGGATTGGGCAAAATTAGATTTATAATGGAAATATGTCACAACTTGAAGTACAGAGACAGCTCTCTGGTCTACAAAACAATATATTGGCTATTTCATGGTGTCGTCTTCTTTACTGATTTTTAAAAAAAAAAAAAAGTATTCCAGGATACAGCTGGTATGAAACTTTATACACAGTAAAATGTCTTTTGTTATATTGAATTTTCCCTATTTAACTATGCGAACACAGACCTGCAAAACTCACTCTTACAATGTTGCCAACTAGCAATTTTATTGCTAGTTTTCTGATATTAGGTTTTCTCTAAAAGACCCAGTGTCATGGGATTGCATGAGGACCTCAGCTTACTTTTTCTTGGAAAATGAAAGTTTCTAGCCTTCAGGGTTGTGGAGAAAAGCTTGGAAAAACCTAAGGCTCAAAAAACAAAAGGCAAATTCAACAACAAGCTTTAAATTTTTAAAGCTCTACTGATTTTTAAGCAAATGTTATGATTTGAGGGCCTGACTTGTGATTTTTGAATGCTTGGGATTGGCAACAGTACTGTTAAGTCAGAAGTTCTTTAAAGAGAGGTTCTTCCTGGATTGAAAGTCAACTCTACCGTATGACTTTAAATAATTGCATCAAACATAGTTTCAGAAATAGAAACTAAAACTGAAAGTGCTGATCTGGTACAGATAAAGCATGTATCGCTGAAATCATAATGATTTGCTAGTATGTATTCTACAGTGCATCATGTCTGTATGTATGCTACTTGATCATTTCACAACCAGAGCTAATATTCTGTCAGAGTTTTCTATTGCAGTTCTCAACCAGGGGTCTAACAACCTGTGGGGGGCTATCAAACAGGACTACAGGTAGACTCTCTGGGGCTCCGGGCAGAAAGACTAAGCCCCACCAAATGGGGCTGAAAACCTGAGTCCTGCCACCTGGAGCTGAAGCAGATGCCTGAGAAACTTAGCTTCTCATTGCCCCCTGTGGTTAGTGGCCCTGGGCAATTGCCCTGTTTACTACCCCTTAATGCCTGCCCTGGCTTTTATATGCAGAAAACCAGATCTTGTGGCACAGGTGGGCTGTGGAGTTTTGAGTAGCATGTTGGGGGGTGGGGAGGGTGATGGGGCTCAAAGAAAAAGGTTTAGAACCTTTGTTCTATTGCACCATCATTCTGATGTCTAAGTACTTCCCAGGTAAAGGTCAATGGCATTGGTGACCAGCTACTCATTACAATTTATGATAATAAAAAGGGGGAAGGAATGCATGTCAAAATAGGGAGAACAGGTTAACAAATGTCTTAAAAAGTTAGATTATTCAAGGCAGCAGGGCCTGATGAAATTCATCCTTGGGTAGTTAAGTAATCTTGGAACTGTTGGCAATTAGCTTTGAGAACTCTTGGAGGACAGGTGGGGTCCTAAAAGATCAGAGAAGGGCAAAAATAAGCTTAAAAAGGGTACCAGAGAGCCCAGGGAATTTGGACAGCTGGTCTATAACATTGATACCTGGGAAAGGTACTGCAACAAATGATTAAAAAATCCATTTGTAAGCAGCTGGAGAATAAGAGAGTTATAAGGAATAGCCAGCATGGATTTGTCAAGAACACTTCATATCCAACCACTCTAATTTCCTTCAGTGAGAGGCTTGCTGGCCTAGTGGTTGGAGGGAAGCAGATGTGCTATATCTTGATTTTTAGTAAGGCTTTTTGACACTTCACATGACATTCTTATAAGCAAACTAGGGAAATATGGTCTAAATGAAATTACTATGAGGTAGGTGCGCAACTGGTTGAAAGACCTACTCCATAAACCAATGGTTTGCTGTTATACTCTCTGTTTATGGAGTGGGGTTCCACAGGGGCCAGTCCTTGGTCTGGTACTATTAAATATTTTCATTAATGACTTGGATAATGGGGTGGAGAGTATACTTATAAAATGTACAAATGACACCAAGCTGGGCCGAGTTGTAAGAGAAATCTGCAGCAAGAGAGATCTGTTAGATATTAGGAAAAACTATCAAACGAGGGTAGTTAAGCTTTAGACTAGGCTTCTGTGAGAGGTTGCGGCATCCCCATGACAAGAGGTTAAGAACAGCTTGGACAAACGCCTCTCTGGACAAGGATCATGTGATTCTAGCAGCACCTCTGAGGAGGCAGACTCTCATTGTGTAACAGCAACAGCCTCGTGTAACTTTGCCCTGCAGGCCCAAGCTATGCTCTTCTAATAATTCCAGGTGGAAGTGATGAATGCATGGATTGTTGGGGCAATATTCTCCTCAGGGAGGAAAGGCTGAAGTTTCCAAGTAAACTGCAAATGGACAAGGGGTATTTCTCATTAATGAGGCTACATGCTATTGTAGGCTAAGTGCAAAGTCAAACAGGACCCTCAGGCTTTGCACTATTTTGATATATTTCAGAGCTGGATGGGACCTCGTGTGCCTGGGGCTGTAATGAGTGACATTTGCAGGAGGCGTAGTGCCAAGCTCCTTTCAAGCTTATAAATAAAACAGCATGAAATTGACCTAAAAACCTTGTGACAGAATGAAAAATAGTTAGGGGGAACTTTTACCTCCCTGAACTAACAATCATGTGATGGAGCTTGTCTCGGCCTGCAAGGGTGATTTTTCTTTTTAGCTTGAGTAGAGATGCTTGGGGGGGAGGGTATGAGAGGAACTATTACCAAAAAAAATACATATCTTTATGTATTAAAAACAGTTTCAGTAGAGGAAAAAAATCAAGATTATCAATAGTCAAGTTAAACAAGACCCAGAGCACACTTAAAGCTCTGTGCCACAGCTCTTACTCACAAGTGGCTTTACTGGAGCTAATGGTATTAGGTGCTGGGACCCTTGCATGCCAAAGTAAAAAGCTCTGAAGGTGGGGAGTGGGAGACCAAGGTTACAATCTTGCAAGTTACTCTGTGTCCAAGCCGAGCCCCATTAAAGTTAATAAGGCTCCATTTGAATGCAGGTCACCTTGCAGCATCAGGGCTAAGTTAACTCGAATTGATATTATTTAGTGTAACTGTTTAATTAGATAAATCTTTTCTTTTGCAAGTCATTTTTCACTATAATTCTCTTCATTTTTAACAAATATATTTTAAAAGTGCCTACCCCAGGCTCTAGGTGCTTTTGCCTTAAAAAAAATCAAAGCAAATAAAAACAAAACAAAAAATATTAAAACCCTCCCAACAGCTTCTCCTCACCTCCATGCTAGGAAATAACTAGAGATTAACTTAGTACCCCAGCCCCCACCCTAAAATCCTAGCCTTTCTGAGACTTTTCCTTCCCTGAAAGTTTGGTAGATGGTTGAGCAATGCAATACGCTCTGGAAAAAAAAGCAGTTCTGTCCTGTTTCAGACCAGGATAGGCAGTGAGTTCTAAAGCTGATAGCCCCCATGGACCATACCTACTCTCTTACAGCGAGGGGACTTTAGCTCCAGTGTCACTGCTAACTATAGTGGAGGATGTAAGGTACAAAGTTTACATTCAAACAGGGGGGAAATTATTACACATCTGTGAATACAAGAACTGATGGTCTGTGGACACACACACATCCTCCAGAGGCATATGTCCAGGGGTTGAAACATGGGTCTGACAACCAGAACTTTTCCAGTTCTTTTACTGTGACTTTATCAATAACTTCTCTTGCATCCTAAACTTAATCACGTAACTTGTCTGACTCAGTTTCTCCTGCTGTAAAATAGAGAGGCTAATTCTTAATCAGAAATATTGTGTTAATTAGCTTATGTGTACAGTGCTTTGAAGATGAAAAGAACTGTATTAATTTTTCTTTCGAGTCAACGCACACTCATTGGACTAGATCTTAGCCCTTTGTTCTGCCTGGCAGAGAAGAATTTCAGGGTGGGTGTCTGGAACTAGCTGTGGCCCTAGCTCTAGGGTTGAGGGCATGACAGGGGCAGGGAAGCAGGGCTGGAACAATTTCTGGTGATCTTTGGCTGCCCCTATAGCGTGTTCCAGTATTGGGAGAGGATGGGGCACACCTGGCCCGATCACTTGTGCGCCTTCACCCTGCTGTGCCCAGCACAACTTAAGTCGCATGCCTGAGCATTCCAGCCTAAGCGTTACAGCTGCTACTGCAGTACAGATGTGGATATTGATTCTGTTCCTGGTCTTATTACCACTGGCTCTTTCTCCAGGGTAGTTATTGTATCTCATTTAAATGATTGTATCCTAAGGGGAACTCTGCTTTTTAATCCTTCAAGGTCCTGGCAGGTGTCCAGGATCTCTGTGGCGGAGAGGTGTCAGGCAGGGGAACGTGCACTGGGCTGTTAACAACGACTCTGCATCCCCTGCGCCTCCTTAATTAGGCGCTGGCTGCCCTTTCTTGGAGGCCTGGGCCTTTGTCTGTGCGCGTGCAATCTTTTGGGTCAGCTGTCCCGGCCTTTAACCCTCCCCCCGGGTGCCCCCCCGGTGCAGGCTGCCAGGGCTTCCTTCTCTCTCGGCTGGAGCGCGGAGAACTTCCCCATCCCCCCTGGGCCGCGGGGGAGGAGCAGAGCGAGGCGGAAGTGAGAACGAGCCCCGCGGGACGCAGCCCCAGCCTCTCACACGAGCTGCGAGCTCCGTGCCTCTCGCCTGGGCGTCCGGCTCCGCGCGGCGGCTGCAGCCTCCCAGGTGAGCAGGTGCCGAGCGCGGCGGCCCGGGAAAGGGGCCGCCCGCCCGGCCGGGCGCGGCGAGGCATTTGCCGCTGAGCCCCGTCTCCCGGCCGAGGGGGCTGGTCGCTCAGGTGCTGAGAACTAGCCGGGCGGCACCTGCGAGAGGAGCCGGGGGGCGGCGGGGGGCAGCTCTATGCTGCGGCGTGCCTCCTCCCGGGGCTCAGTGCATGGGGTAGGGGGTGCTCGGGGCAGCGCCGGGCTCGGGGGCGGAGAGCAGCGGAGAGCAGCACCCCCGGTGCCTGAGCGAGACATCCACCCCCGCCCCCGTGCCCGGCGGGAGAAGGCGCTTGGCGCAGCGCGGGGTGGGGTGGGCTGCGGTGGCTTGCCCTCTGGAGCCTCCAGGAGGCTGGGCAGGTCAGAAACGCCCCCGGGGAAGTGGGGAGAGGAGAGTCACGCGGGAGGGGAAAGCGGCGGTGTCGAAACGAGGGTCCCGTTGAGTTGATCAGAATTGCTATTGGCTTCGCGACTGACTTCGATGGGTTTGCCCCCCCCCCCCGGCCATTGAAAGCCCTTTTTGCCATCTATACCGCGGCGTTTGTTTTAAGGGAAACATCACACAGCGCGCTCTTAATAATATTTACCGTGTTCCCGATTTGTTTTTTCTTTCGAGAACTCGACTCAGAGAACCAAAGAGAATGGACGCCAGAGTCAATCTGGTTTTGTAGGTCCCAGCGCTGCAAGCCTGTGTGTGTCGCTCGGTGCGTGTGCCCGCGCCGGCGTGTGCCCGCCCCAGAGTCTCTGTTTTGGTGTTTAGATGCAACTGCTGCACAAAGTAGTACCAAAAATGGTCAAGAGGGAGAAAAAGGATTTGAAAAGGAAAATTCATAGCTGAGCTGGGTTGGGCAGGTTTAGGGCGTGTAATTGTTTGATCATCATGGCCATGCATTTCCTCCTGCCTGTGGGGACTTTTGTAATCAGATAGCTACACCAACAGTAAAGCCAGCAGTTTCACTTGTATGCCAAGGCATACTTTTTTTTTTTTTTTAATGATGTGGTGTTTAATGCTGCCTTTTCTGCGTTCTATGGATGACTTGGGACTGCACATATAAAACCAAACTGACTTTGATGGTTTCATACTGAAACAAATATGTCTCAGATGTCACCTTTGTCACTTTTCTGCACACTGGGAACACTGGAGTCTTCACTGCAGCAGAACACCAGATTTCCCCAGAATCATAGGCCCTGACCACTTTAGCGGAAATATCATCTCGGTAATGTTATCTATTAGCACTGTTGGAGGTATGACCTACGGTTGAGCAATTCTGATTCTGTCCAACAGAGGGCGATGGTATATATACTTATTTATGATTAGATGGGGAAATGCATTGTTGAGCACTTACACAAAAGGCTCACTGAACGCTCATCAACATGAGTGAGAGTTTCACAATTTAGCCTTTAGCTAGTGCATTGCACAATGTTTTCTTTGAGACAAAGTCAATTCATAGACCCCTGCGCAGACACAAAATGTATATCCATATCCGATATGCAAACATGGGCCGTGGATTTGGGCTCTAGATATAAAATTTGGATCCGCACCTATCTGCTTATCTGCAAACATGTCTGCTGATATTTGCATCCACGAATATAAAGCGGGCATCCATGGATTTGCAGGGCTCTGTCTATTCACGTGGTGATACCTCTCCTTCATACCAGATACAGTATCTTTAACGGTGACATAAACAGATCAGTAAATCTGTCTTCTTAGGGTGTTTCTTTAGTTTTCTTTCCCCACATCCCAATAAGTTCTCTAGTTTATAAGATGCAGATGTTTTACTGCAAGCTCGGGGCTGGGGCTGGGGCTGGGGGGGCGGAGGGAAGAGCACATTATACCTTACCATGCCAAATGCCTTCCTTTGCAGTTAGTTACCAAAAAAAAAAAAAAAAATTACAGTATCTTTTTTTTTTTTTTTTACGCATACAAGAAAAATTATTCACACGCTTAACTTTTGCTCCGAGTTAGGAAAAAAAATCTTGTCAATTTACTGATCAATCTGGTCTTGGTGTGTCCCAGCAGCTTAGATAAGGTTCCTTTTCCCACAGTCATTAATTTGTGATCGCTTATAATTTTAGTGCGATTACTTTAAGGAGAACAAAATATGTTTATCTGGTAGTATAATCTTTAGTAAACTAAAGTGCATATTTATATGGGATTCAGTGTTTAGTACATAGAATAATTCTTGCTTGAACTAGTGCGTAGGTCCTATAAGGATCATATCTCAAACTCTGTGGACATTCCCTTTCATGTGGGTGAGTGAGGGGGAGGGAGGGAAGGAAGGAACCTTGAACTAGGGAGACATTGGCCTTCTGGGCCTGTGTTTGGTCAGATGTGTGTATGCGGAGGGGGGCACAGGAGATGGAAATGTAAGTGAGCCAGATTCTGTCCTCATAGAATTCAGTGGGAGCAATGGTCCTTTCGTGGCTTCTGGCATGAGGGTGTAAGTAGTTCAGGAACTGCTTCAGTTCTGAAACAATCTCTGTTGTTGGCTTGGAGTAATACTGTAGTTCCTAAAGGTTATCTTGTTAGCCTGCCTTACCCGAATACTCTTTATTTCGTTAAATGGACCTACTGGTGTGAATAAGACTGTTACAGTTTGGCCCTTATTAGGGAAACAAGGCTGTACAGCTTGAGTCTTTTTTGATGAGGTGTATCTGGAAATCTATATAATTACATTATTTTTCCTCAAGAAATTACTTTAGTGCATTGTTAAACTTCTGGTGAGAGATTTTTGTAGAATTTCCCAGGTAGTAGGTTCCCCATAGAAATGAAATTGCTTTAGTCGTACAGTATCCCTAAATCTGTTGCTTCAAAAATAAGTCACCTGTAGTGTAAGTATAGTGAGAAATCATTCTTGCCGTACTTGATAATATTTGAAACACGCTTTCTTCTACTTGACTGAAGTTCCACCTTAAATCTCTTGTATTAAGTAACTATGGAATCTTACAGTGATTTGGTGTAGTCTTACAGTAATCCAGCCCTTAGTGTGTGCACTCTCTCTCCCTCCCCACTTCAAATATATAAAAATAGAAGGCAGCAACTACCTAAGTCGTCATTGTAATATTGCCTATATGTGGTGCAGCTGAAGCTGTTATCGTTGACACTGAGCAACAAAATTAAGTGCACAGCGTGCTTTTTAAAGGTAATCCTTAATCCTTTTTTGGGGAGGAGGGGAAATCATCTTGGGATTCTCTTAAAATGCTTTTTCTTAGTTTAAAGAAGTTGCCTTGCTGTTTGGTACACAACTGTCTCTGGTGATACATTTTTGCATTTCTTTTTGATTTCTTCTGTAACGCCTTTTATGTGCCTAATAGGGAATTGGAATTGGATGTTGGATGTACGTTAAACTGTAGGTAAAAATGCCAAGAAGAAAAAACATCTTTCCCTCTGAGTAACTTGGACATTTAAAATTTGTAGTTTTTGATATTTGAATGTGTTACCAAAATATGCACACTCCTTGGGAATGAGATTTTATGTCGTAAACATACCTGTGTACCTGTGACTAAATACATAATACCACAGGAAATAGATTTTGTGGGAAATTAATGTGCCGACATCTCTTACATGAACTATTAAAGTTTGTATGTACTTAAGAAATTTTTAGGACCACTGTCCATTTAAATTTGGTCCACTGCTTGCATTTTGTAAAAAGCAGCTTAAATAACTTCCAAACAAAAGCCTAGAGGAAATAGTTCCATGTTTTTTTCTGAAGAAAACAATTGTTAAAAAATTATTGCATGCAGTGTGTGAAAACGAAATATTGCAGTGCTAAGAATCAGAAAGTAAAACTAAATTATTTTTTTTTCTTAGCTGACAGGCCAAAAAGCACAAATGGTGGCAAACTAGACTTTTTCAAGTCCATTCACTTTTACTCATATAAGGTGTTACAGAACAGAAAAACATTGTTTGTAACATATATTTAAATGGACAGGGCCCCTTTAAAAAGTTAACGGTGTGCATTTCCATTTCACTGAGTATATATCCTGTTAAGATTTACATTAAAAATTTAATCCTCTCTTCCACAGACACTTACCTGGAATTAGACCTTCAGCATCCAACACCATGAGCAACTACAGTGTGTCTTTGGTCGGCCCTGCTCCTTGGGGTTTTAGGCTTCAAGGTGGAAAAGACTTCAACATGCCTTTGACCATCTCTAGGGTGAGCCATATTTGCCTTTATAGACTTTACAAAAATGTCTGCTCCGTCATGTGGTACCTGAAACCTGCAAAGATGCGTATTTCTGCAATATGATCATCTTGCTGAATGTGAGGGCCGCTCACTTGTACAGCTGGTGTCACCTTGTCCCTTAGGATGATGGAACGACTATTTTCTTTTAAACCTGTTGGGAAAATTAATTTTCTTGAACGTTTGAGGCCTGCCACCGTGTTTCCTTGGGGAGAACAAATGTTTGTAACAGTGTTTTGCTTTTTTTTTATAAGCATCAGGTAGAAGTATTTCCTTTCATCCTTGCTTCCGTAGATGTGTGTGTAAGAAGCCGAGGTGGAAAGTTGCTGACATAAGTTCGATTGTGTCTTGCGCTAAAGTTAGCTTTTGAGCAGCAGGATGCTTAACCCTCCCCCCCTGGTGATGGAGGGCAGAAGTGGACACATCTCTCTCAAGCGGGAGGGGGCATGGATCTTTAATGAGAAAATAGCTCATGTTGCCTCTGTGTATCCACCATATATTAACTGAGTTTATGGTCTTTAAGTATCTATTCTTGCAAAATCCTCCTATTTACAATTAAAAAAAAAAAGGTAGTTAAACTATGTGCAGTACAATATTCCCTCTAACTTTTTACATCCATGTGCAGAATGAATTTTGTTATGTGCACCAATATGGAGGTGATGTTTGGTGGGGGTGGGGCCGAAGGGTTCAGAGTGTGGGAAGGGGCTCAGGGCTGGGGCAGAAGGATAGGGTGCAGGGGTGGTGGTGCGAGCTGGGGGTGCAGGCTCTGGGGTGGGGCCAGTGATGAGGGGCTTGTGGTGCAGGAGGGGGCTCCGGGATGGGACAGAGGAATCGGGTGTAGGGGAGATGAGGGGTTTGTGGTGCAGGCTGCCCTGGGGGTGGGACTGGGGCCAGGGAGAGAGGACACCCTCCAGCCCTCTCTCGCTGCAGCGGCCTGGGGGAGAGGCACCTCACCAGAGCAACTCTGGGGCTGGGGGAGAGGCGCCTCTCCCTACCTTGGTAGCCTTCTGAGTGACCGCGCAGCTTAGAGGGAACTTGGGTGCCTTAGTTGTGAATGGTGTTTCATTAAAATGTGCCTGAATGAACATGCCAGTTTCTCATGGGTCTTGTATAGTGTATTGATCTTAACTGCTATTATTCAAAGGATTTGAAGAGCTCAGTCAAAAGAGAGAAAATCTTTGTACAAATAGCAATGTAGTGTCTAGCTAGAGTTCACGACCCTCAAATAGTGTTTAATGGATATTTTTCTTTGGATCTAGGCTGAGTTTCAAAACCTTCCTCAAATGTCTGAAACTGTTCTATTTGGCGTGTATGACATATTTATACCAACTTTGCAATATTGAGGCTTTCAGAATATTAGGAATCCTAGTTAGAGGAGAGTTCATTTTACTTCTCTAATATGTGTTTCCTCCGTGTCAGCCATTTTTTTTGAAGGGCAATTCTACTATAAAAGTATTTATGTAAAAATGGGATCTTATTTAACAGATTCTCTCACCCTCACTCCCCCAACACTTTCCCTACACCACCCTATTTACTTCAGTGACACAGATAAGTTACTTTTTACACCTGTTGAGTGCAGTGTCTGTACGCCCTGTGAGAGGGATTTGGTTTCTGTTGCATCATCAAACTTCGCTTTTTCAATTGCAGGTCCAAATACTGCTGGTTCATTTAGACTTAGGTAACCTTATTCAGCTGTGGGTTACACTGTTGAGATAAAGGTGACATTTTGGTCCTGTGGCCTATTTTATTTAAATAATACCGAATGGAGTGCTAGAGAAATGACCTCAAATAAATAACAAACTTACGACAGTTGATGCCTGAACCAGAGTGTGTACTGCATACTTTTTTAAACCTAGGCAGAGGTTTGCATGACTGACAGGAGAATCTCAATAAATGATTTTGAGTTACTGATACAGAATAAACATGGAATCTCGGAAGGTTGTTTTTACAGTCACTTTTCAAAGAACCACCACATTTCTTAAAGTCTGGGTTATATTCATGTGCCCCAAGATCCTTCAGCATGGTTGGCTTGCTTTTGAATGGATCAAACTTGTTGTCACTTGAGGCTTTGGATTTTTTCAAACTAGGTCTCAGTTGGGCTTCTAATTTGATGGCTATCAGTTTACGTGGGCAAGAACTATGCTTGTGATTAAACCAGGGGTGCAGCTGGTTGCACCTAGAGATTTAACCTTTTGAGTTGCAGATATGAACTGCTCACGTGGAGAGGAATGATTGTAAAGCTGTTGAAACATAGGTGCTAGACATTTTTCAGTCAGGACCTCTTATTTGGTACACATCCCAAAACCTATCAAACCATGGTAAATGATAGAAAATACTACTTCTGTTCCTGGTGTGTTTGAGAACCAGAGTGCAGCTCTAGCATGAGTGGGTGGGTTTAAACCAGGCGCTTTGCAGAGAGAGGGAACGATATTTTAAGATTATGTACTACACTTATCCTTGACTAGCGTTGCTTAATCCATGTGGTACATACATACACGTGCTGTTGTACTGGGATGAGCTAAAGAAATACGGAAATTGGTCTAAACAATTGAATCTGAAATCCCCAGTCTTCTGATCCCGTGCCAGCTGGCCTAAGACTCCATCTGAGTAGCTCATGTTACAGGATTGGGGCCATAATAATCTCTCTGAGCCAAAATTAAAAAAAATAAGTAAAATCTGGCACTTCTACCTGAGCTCCGCCCCTTCTGGGTTTTTTCTTTTCACTGTAAGTGGGACTCTGTGTGTGTGTGTGTGTGTGTGTTTGGTCTGGAATTAAAATGTACTGAGGAGGATGATTTGCATACCAAAACTATCTGATGATTTGAAGAGTTCTGTCGTGTGTCCCTTATACACTAGCACAGCATGTACAACACGCCATCCTTCTCTTCCTAGTGAAGCATAAATGCCTTTCCTCTGTAGTTAGCCTGCTAATTAAAGAGTTTTGAACATACTGATTTAATAAAAAAGGTAACCAAGCAGCAGAGTTATTTTTGTTCCCTTACAAAGGTCCTGCTGTCTCTCATGACCTTCTTGGGTTTTGTGCAGTCATGCCTGGAATTCATTCTGGGCTGTGATGGTGAATCTTGGTGATTGTGTTGACAACTAATCTCTTGCTGTAGCTTTGTTTTAACTCCTTGCATTAAGTTTAAACAATACTTAACACAACAATATTCTCTGTAGTTGACAAATAGTAAGTTGGTCTCCTGACAGTATTGAAATAACCTGTCAAATTCTTAAGTAAAAGGCTTTAATTTAACAAACTTGCATCTCCCATGACTGTCTCAAGAAAGTTTTTCTTAAAGTTCATTCATATTGCTATTTTAATGGAATTAATCAGTGGTGCTATTACTAGAAAAATAATAGTAGACTGAGTTCTTCCATTGAAATTTTTGCAGTGGCAAGTGTGAATTTAGGGTTTTTTTAGTTTGAGTGCAAATGTTTGAGACCTATTTGACATGATACACTTGTACACTGTGTATTGAAATTCGAATCCCATAAAGCATTTGTAGTGCTTGCCATGACTGAGTGACATTGTTAAAGTAATACCGAAATGTTACTATTCAAAAAAGAGTTTATATATACAATGTTAATCAAGAGTCTGCTCTGAATCTAAAGGGTGACACACAACCACGCAAAAATACAGGGATGGGTGGAAAAGATCCAGGGAGTAGTTGGCAGAGAAATTTGGGTGGAGTATAGGAAGTTTTGAGGGTTTTGGGAGGAGACACACGTTTGCAGGATGTGAGCTTTGGGATACTTTCAAAGTGAGAAGGTTGAACTACGGCTTTGATGCTTCAAGATGTTGCACACTCTGGCTCCCATCCAGCAATGCACTTAAGCACGTGTTTAACTTTAATCTGATGGGGCTGCTCCAAATACTGAAGTTAAGGATCAAACCTGGTATGCGGAAGAAGAAAAGTACAGGTGCTCTGATTTGTTGTTCTGTGTTGTGGCTGCAACCCCTAATAAAGACTGATATATGGGCTTGATCCCGCTTCTTGTGGGCCTCATTGGCAGCAGGAGACTGGGCTGATAGATAAAAAAGAGAGTTTAACAGTGAGTCACACAAATGATATGGCAGTACTTTCATATGGAGAGAATGCAAAAACTATTTGGCTTGAAATAAATGAAAATGGAGATTACTTGATTGGGGATCTTCAAAGATTGGACACATCTCAGTATAACCTAACTAGTTCCATTTGGCAAAATAAACAAACAGATCAAAATAAAGTAAACAAAACTGAGAAGATTAGGAGAATGTAAATTGCCTTTTACCTTGTTGTATAATCCAAAAACAAGACACATGTTACAACTTAAGAGCAGTAAAGTTAGAGCAAATAAAAGCAAATAACATTAGATGCAAGGTATCTGGAAGCTACTGCCATAGGAAACAAAGACTCCTACTTTTGCTGTATTTAAAATAAAAAAGAGTACCTGACTTCATGTTCATCAACAACGTTGGTAGTTAGGCAGACTGACTATATAGCCATAATGAAATCTGTTTCAAGCTTATAAACTGTTTTGTCTCTGAATCAATATACAGCGGTGTACATGTTAGTGTGTACTATTTTCTGAAACGTAAAGAGCTGGCTGCTGCCAGATTCAGGATACTGGATGATATGGCCCAGTGCTTTGGCTGTGTTTATGCTTGATAACATCAAAATCTACAATGCTACTTTTGCAGTCATACTTACTGTCTCAATTATTTTTATATAAAATTTCCTCTACTTAAGAAAAATATCTTTTTATAAGTACCAGCCTAGCAAACTCCTCTTGGACTATGACGATCAAGCTGGTTATTTTTAATTTATTTTACTAATCACCAGTAGTAAAGTATCTGCAGGACAAATTAGCCATCACTGATGCGTAGTTAAGGCCATGCTCTCAGGCAGTCTGGTTGACTGACTGAGTGGACAGCTTGGGAATGACATTGATAGATACCATTTAGCCTTTGCCAGCTGGATCATTCCTTT